ATATTTCACAAATCTAGCTCATAAAAGTGAACAAATTTTAATATAAATATTGATTCGACTAAATAGAAATAAATAAGTATGGAAGGAGGGCAAAATAATTTCTGAATAGTCAAAGTTATTTAGGCTTTTACACCCATTACCATATCACCTCAAATTGCGCATTAGAGTCCTCAAAAAGTCTATGTTCTTGTTCATAGTAAAATTCAATGACGATTAAACAATACCCGCGTTGTTGTCCGCCAATCGGTAAACATCACTATAGATCGGCGGGCTTGGGGACTGTACCAAAATATTTACGTATGTTGAAATTTTTCTGTAAGATGGTTCTCTACTCACAAAGTAGCCTAAATACAGCAAATAATGGCCAAATTAGTTGAAAAACGTGGCCAAGACCACGGTCACAGCTGAAATCAAGGATACATTTATATAAGGGTTATATCAAAATGTGGCCCAACCAATATTCTCTTGGGGGTTACAAATTCAATAGAAAACAAAATTTTCTTTTCTGACCACACATTAGATGTGAAAGTGGACTTGGAGATACTCCATTGTGGGGACTTTATTTAAATAAATTCCTGTGTGGCAATTATCTGTATGATGGTTCCCTACCCCAGGGTAGCATAAATACAATTTTTAGCCAAATCAATTAATGAATATGGTCAAGACCAAAATGGGCCCCACTCTGAAAATTTCAAACTTTATGCGAAGAGGTTTTCTACCTCCTTAGAAACAAATATGCCAAATAATGTCCAAAATATTAAAAAAGTGACCAAGACGCCAAAAAAAACTTAAATCATACGATGGTTATATAAATATGGAATCGGGTTGTACCCTTATCCGTGAGTTATGATCGATATCATGACCTGCAAAAGCGATTAAAGGTATCTCGAATGTTTGGGAAGAATTTCTGCAAGGATAGAAATTCTTTTCTTACTAAGAGTCCCATTCGCTCTACTATTTTCCACCCTTTATATTTGGTATTTTTCTGATTGTACATTGGACGGATTATTGTGACAGGAAAGAAGTAGTTCCACGCTTTGAAATGAGCCCCATTAGGGTTTTTCGGTAATTTTCGTTTGTTCAAATGTGTTCGCATCTTCCAGCTGAACCACGATGTCGGCCCTGGAGTTGAAAGGTAGATGTCAGTTAACATCGTATTTCCCACTTATTTAATTTTTTGGTGAAAAATTGTATATAGTGAAAAATTATTCTTTATTTTGTTCACAAAAAATTTACTGAATTCAATTAGATAATACAAATTTAAAAAAAAAGTGACAAAAGGAGAATAACACATTGAAAAAATCTTCAACTTGTTCGCTGATTTTTTACAGAAACTGTTTAAAGATCCTTATATAGTTTGTCAATAGAATGTACTTCTATTTTAAAATTCGATTCCATTAAATTATTTCGACATCATCTATTCCGTTTCGCCACCACATAATTCGGTACTACACTTCCATGTAACTCGCCATCAATTTCATTTCTCAAGAAATCAAGTCAATTAAATAAATTGGTATTAATATTTGAATTCAAAAAAAAAAAAATAAAAAAACACTACAAATGTACATTAGAAAAAAGTAAGTCAAAATGGAAAAAAATTATGCAAAATAAAACATTACTATTGTACATTTCAAAAGTCAAAATGAAAATGTTAATATAACACATTTTTACGCGATTTTTTTGGATATTATCCTTTTCGGAGAGGAGACAATTCCGAATTTGTATGAATCGTTAAAATTAGTCCAGCGGTTCTCAAGTTATAAGCGTAGTAACTAACACAACTTTCTTTTATATATATAGATAAAACAAATAATGAAGCAGTATTAAGCGACTACTTCCAGAAAATATTTTACTATACTTATCTTAAATTTCAAATTAAGGCTAATTTGATCAAAAACGTTAGGAGACAAAATTTTATGAGAGTTGAACCTAAAGTTTCAAAGCCTCTTCTTAAATGTAGCGATCTCTATAGTGAATTCAAATGGTGGTCAAAGAGGCACACAGATATAATTATATCGTGGTAGAATTTTACTATGATCAAGAATACATACTTTATGGGGTCCTCAACAGACATTTTGAGGTGTTACAAACTGAGATGTATTAAACTAATTCCACAAAGAGGGTTTCAAGGTTCCAAATAATAGCCCATTTCACTGGGACATTTTTCTAAACACTTTTATAGACCGATAGATATAGTATATACTCACTAAATTTCTAAATATGAAATTAAAGCCACGTGGCTGAAAAATATTGTCAGGACATTTAAAACACTTAAAATAGCCCATTACGTGAATCACTACGTAAACTCCAAAACACTGAAAATATAAACTAATAAGCAGGCCGAAATGTCAATCTAGGACTCATTCAGTCGGAAATTGTGGCAGAAACATGAAAACAATACGAAATTATAGAGTAACTTTATTGGATCTCCACCACCCAATTTAAATGACAAACAATTAATACCCATCTTACGGTAATCGGAGCAAAAGAGTAATTTTTTGGCTATTCTGACAACATTCTGCCTTCAAGTATGAGGTGGACAAAACTAAATACCACGCAGTACGTGATTTTAAACGTTTGATATACAAATTTCAAGTTATAGCTCATTTAAATGCTTCTTACAATACCAAAAATTGAGCTGAATTTTAACATGGGGCTATTATAGATGTTCTTTATCATATAGGTATTTAACACTCAAATTAAAGCATATATATATATATATATATATATATATATATATATATATATATATATATATATATATATATATATATATATATATATATATATATATATATATATATATATATATATATATATATATATAATCAAGTTTATTTCATGATTATATATTTATAATCAAAATTCGGGTCATTACAATGGAGTCATTACTTATAATCAAAATTGTGCCGCCTACATAAGTCAGATCTGTGATTTATTAGGCTTTAAAGACTAAAAGTTCAGGCCGGCAACGCGGACCGGGCCAGCTAGTATACATATATTTGAAAAAAGTATTCAATATCTGTAGTTGTTTCATTTCGAAATAATTTGTACTCTCTGAAGAAATTAATTTTAGATACATACATTTAGTATGGGGGAGTGGTATAGGGTATAGGGATCAATTGACCTGCTGTACCGACTTTGGCTTTTCTTTCATATTGACAGAACTCGAAGTTACAGATGTAAGAGTAAGTAAGACAAGAAGTCGTTTTAGGAAATGTTTGCTTTGAAACTGAGCACTGTAGAAATACAACAAATGTCACGTTCGTACGTGATCCAAGAAATACTTTTTGCTAGATTCTGAGTAAATTTGCCACAACTTGTCGTCGCTAGTTTGGTGATATCTAAATTTTGAATGCAGTTAGGACCGCTCATATTTTTGACGCTGAAGGTCACATCGTGTCAAACAGACATTTATATAAAAAGGGTTACCTCGACATTTACACTGATGCCGATTATATTGCCGTACACTGTCCGATACCGGAAATATAACCAGTAAAGAAAGTCCTAAAATCGAGCGGGGCCGATTTTATGATACCCTACACCACTTTTCTAATTTAGTTGAGCTCCACAAAACAATTAAAAGTTTTTATGGGAGAATTCAATCGTACACGCTATGATTATAATTATAATTTAAAATTCAAATGACTAAATATGCCGAAGCATTTGTATCTTTTAAATTCGTTGCAAAATTAATTGGAAATCAGATAAAGATATATATGGGAGCTATAGCTATATCGGAACCGATCTTCACCAAATTTGGCATACTATCTTCTAGACTCAATTCGGTCGTATGAGCCAAATTTTATCCCATTTGGGCAAATATTAGACGTTTGGTGCACAATAAAAGGTAAATCGGACGAAATTATATATGGGGGCTATATCCAAATCTGAAACGATCTCGATAAAATTTAGCAAAGGTATTTCTGAGCTGTATTTGATATATTTCCCTGAATATCGTTGTTACGGAGTGAATATTTCGGCTGCGGAGGACAAAAATAACTAATCGGATGAACAATATATATGGGAGCTACAGCTATATCTGAACCGATTTCGGCATACGTATTTTCAGGCCTAATTTGGTTGTATGTGCAAAATTCCATACTATTCGGGCTTATATTACACGTTTGGTGCACAATAAAAGGCATTATTTATAATCAAAAAAATGTTGTTTGGAAAACAAATGTTGTTTGGAAAATTTCATCTCAATCGGATAATAAATGCAACTTGCATTTTGTTCACAATAATACATGGACAGACGGACGGACGGACTGACATGCATAAATCAACTCAGAAAGTGATTCTATGCAGATCATCAAAAGGAACTATGGGTCTATCTCGTTTCCTTTTGCCTGTTACAAACAAATGCACAAAGACATAATACCCTTCAATAGACTTTAAATATTTTTATTGTTGTAGCTAGGTAGAGGAGGGAATATATTTTAATCTTTAAATATATATTGTTTTGGTTGAACGTTCTTCAATTTAATTTCCAACTTTTTTTTGTATAATTTGCATCTTCAGGGAATTGTCTAAATGGGATTGTGCTGAAAAATTCACTATTATCGTCTACTGTTAATTTTACACTTTTATTGCAACTTTTTAATCATCACGAAATTTTGCTTTGACTTGTGGCTCTCGTCCAAAGTCGAGATAACCCCCAGAAAATCTCCCTCGAAAAATGATGGTGTTGGGAATCACATGGTCAGCCCCGTCCGACTAAATTATTTGCTTACTTATTCATTCCTTAATACTCCCAATTAAGGTTTTACAATTTTTCGTACTTTAGACGTCCTTGGAGACAAAAAAAGTGGATGCTTTGGACAAATTTATTTTCTTGAGACAATTTCAATCAGTTTTGGAATTAAGAACTTAACTATATTATATATTATTCTTTACATTCTGTATTTTGTTGCTAACAATTTTCCATAAATTACATTTTTCGTAGATCATTTCTTTATCATCTATAAACTGTGTAATAATTGTAGATAGACACATACACACACCTGTACTTGCAAAAAGTTGTTCAAATAGAAAATTTAACCGGCATGTAAGTTAAATATTTTATTTTCTGAGACGAAACTAATGGTCGAGACTATTTTCTTTCGTAATACGGGAAATAAAAATACCGATTGCAATGTACACACACAATATACCATCGCGGTTGTAAAACCAAGCTTTACTTGCTCAGACACCGTCTCCGCTACTGACTTACTGGACACAAGTGGATTCATTCAGAAGTCGAGATTTGTTGATTGTCGTGAGACAATGGCTCTCGTTGTGTACCACTCACCAGACACCACATTTTATTATAAAATAGTTAACTGAGAATGTCGCTGTCGTTGAAGGTGGCAGAGGAGGAAACTCATTCGAAGCTATTCATTAGCGTAAATGCCGGATGAGCAAAAAACGAACGCACTGTTGTCCCAGACATTGTCAGTTGATTAGAATAAACGGTAATTGTTATAAATATATATTTCTACCTATGCTCATACTAATAAAAATATTAGGGTGTGCCAATCACACACAATTATTTCGTCATAGTGTATCCTTATTTGCCTTAATGAAGGTAACTTAGCAAATATCGCCTTAAATGGCCTCCAACATGCCTTTCCGATGCAGAATATTTGGAAAATTGCAGACATATGTATTTATAACATAAACTCAATATATATGAAAGAAAGTGATGTTTGAGTAGTGACTATATCTCAGGAACAGCTGGACTGATTTTGACAAATCGGCTTTAGAGAACGTCAAATACCAATTTTAATTCAATTCCATCAGAAACTTTGATCAAAACTTTAAAAATACCTAAATACCTAGACTCTACTTAATATACACTATATTATGATCTTAATTTAATTTTTTTATACATAAAAATCCATCCCTCAAAGCTTAGAAGTTATTATTACAGGCTGACAGACTGACAGGCGGAAATGGGTAAATCATTTTAAGAATTTACCGTGATCAAATTAATGTATTACAAACGGATTAACAAATGTTGTATATCCTTCAAAAATGTATATTTCTTCATTAGAGATATTAAACTCTTTTTAAAAATTTGGATTTCTGGTCGTAGTCCATAAATTTACTCCATAATGTTTATTTTTTACGTTTTCGATCAGCTGTTATCTTATTAATATTTTGCAAAGTGTTGTTCGTTTATTTTTTGCAATTTTTATCTAGAGAGAGAAAATGCGTATCTACCCTGGGCAACTTGTTTCTGAGTAAATGTTATTGTATTAATGTTATACAAGACACACTAGAGTACAAAATATGATATGAGTAACACCTGAGTAGCAGCCAACTACGTGTTTGCTGACAATGAATTTACTACTCAAATCAACTACGGTATGTGCCTAACATTTGACCCCCACAAAGTAAATGACGTATTCAGAGTAAACGAATGCAAAGCACTTATAAGTAAATAAATTAATTCATCGATCAACATTAAAAACAACTACAAGATTAAATTTTCAGTGTCAACGGAATATTTCAAAAGGAGAACATTTGGACGAACAGACTTCGTAACGCTCTATGAGAAGATGACTTTTTATGTCGGATACCACTCTGTGGTACAGGGTATTAAGTCATTGTACATTTGCACACATAACTAGATAGACTCATAGTTCGTCTTGATGATCTTCATAAAATAACATTCTAAATCGATTTATAAATTTATGTTCGTTCGTATGTCTATGCATTTTTGTATGCAAAAACAGATCTATCAGGTTTATTATGCACCAAATGCGTGATATAAGCCAAATTTTGATGAAAAATCTCCAGTACGCAAATTGCACTAAATTTCTTATTGGGAGATGAGTAAGAGCTGGAATATTACATTTTTGCATGAGGACCACTCTTAAAGTTAACATAAGCCGGGATTTTTATACATCCCATCCATATAAAACCGAAAGTCGGGTGGTATCGTTATTTGGGATACTTGCCAAACCGATTTTTAATAAAATGTACCCGCATTTTTGTAGACTCTTTGGAATGTGGATACAAAGTGGCGTCCTTTTGAAAAATGTATTTTATACTTATAGTTACTTCCCTCCGTACATCCATACTTACTGACGGTATTACTTTCCACGAGTGTGCTTGTGAAATGAGATTCTGGAAGATTTCAATCTAGCACTGTTTCATGTCACTCTAGTTAAAAAGTAATGTAAAACGGTCGAAAATTTGTATTGGTACAAGACATGTGATAATGTGAAGATTTTTGGAAATTTATACTAAAATTTAATATTATAAGCGGGTGGCAATGCTAAAGTAGGATATACCAAACCTTGAATCTACATGGACAACATTCTATATATATTGTGTATTGAGAGTTTCAAGCACCAAAATTGAAACAATTATGTTGAAATTGTGGCAAAAATCCTGAAAATTCCCGGGAAGAACCGTTATATGGGGGAACTATATAGACAGTGTTCCGTCACCACACATGGGTCCCACTCCAGAATACAAATATAGATTTTTTAAACGAATACGTTAAAAAACTTTTTAAAAATCATATGAAATCCGAATATCGGGAGGTCCCCTTATATGGGAAATCGTGAATCTATTTTGGCAATTGTTCGTTACAGTGGTTGGTATCTATTGTGAACATCAACAATTTCAAAACACTTCCGTTGAAATTGTGGCTTCAATCTTCAAAATACTGAATATGGGGACTATAGAAAAACGTGGATCTATGTAGACAATGTTTTGTCACAGGAGGTTGAATCTATTACAGTCTCTCAATACCACATATGAAACAAATCCTTTACAAAATGTGTCTTCTTCTATTTTTGGCCACCTTTTATATGAACTCCCGACATAGTGCAACGTCTAGTAACAATTTACAACAATTGTTACAAATGTAAAGATAACCAGACCGATATAATAGCATCGGTAAAATGCGGACTAGCTACGAGATCAGAAGCATTCGCCGCCAGACGCCCTTTGTACACTAAACAAGCTGGACTGGTGTAATATAGTTAGATTTAAGACATTTTAACTGGTATTAAGTTCTGAAACAAAACCACGGTCACAGGCTAAAACTGAAACTAAACCTGACCGAGTAAATTCAATTATCAGGGCCGTGCTTTTTGCAACGACAGTATTCCACTGGCGCCCAGCGCTGTTGTTGTATTTTCCTCTTTCTCGACCGTACAGTGTACGTGAACTATAACAAATATGTTCCGCCTTGGAATGTTGGAAGTTTTTGATAAAAATACATACTCATATTTTAGTATAGCCTCCATCCCAGCTAACAATTTCAAATTTTTTGCTGAGACTTTCTACTTTTTTCCATTTTTTCTACAGTTTTTTCGAATATCGGATTAAATATCCGAACATTTTGCGAGTTTCCGGAAAATTCTCCGAATACTTTTCTTGTTTATTTTTAAAGAGTGTTTTATTTGCTTATTCTGATCGAATTCATCGCGTAATTCTAAGTTTATTTCCAATAAAACTTTCCGACTTTGAGGCATCTTTAAATTTGTATACCCTACAATTCTATGTGTTGGGGGTATTATAAGTTTGAGTGGGCCAAAAATTATGTAAAACCTTGAAATAATGGTTTCCAACATAGGAAACTATATATGGATCTTTCTATCTCGCGGAGCTGAATCGATCTAGCTATGTATGTCCGTCCGTCTGTCTATTTTAATTTGTAATCACGGTACAGGACGCAATTGTGGTCCGATTCTCACTGAATGGAGGTGGTGTTAGAGTCAGAATAGAACCCTATTGTTTTTGGAGATGATCCACAATATTATATTAATTATTATATATTTTCCTGATTTTGCAGTTACTCTATAGGCCACAATTATGAATCAACCGACGCGGAAATATGCATGAAGTTAGAGTTCAGGGCTGGGCCAATTTGGATGGTAATCGGACAATATTTAGCGGGTAAAATAAACTATAACTAACCGTAAATATCTTTAATCCCGCCCAAATCACAAATACATTAAAAGGTCACTTCTTACCATTACAATACATATGTAAAAGAAATAGGTCTCAGTTATTTTGCTTATAAGTCAAGAACCGCTGAACGGATTTCTCATCAATTCGGAATGATATATAAGAAAATCGCGTAAAAATATGACAATAAAATAGGGAATATTTTTTGCCACATTTTTTTCAATTTTTGCCGATGTTCACGATATTTCGCATGGGGTTAGGTTTAGGGTAAGAAATAAAGCCTATTGTTTTGAAGATGTACATTTAGGGGTTCAAATAGACCAACGAATTAAAATCTTCCTGATTTTGCAGTCACAATTGACGCGGAATTTTGCATGAGAAGAGAGTTAGGTACAGGGAAGAAGTCTAGCATTTTAGATGACCTTTGGATTACATTTAGCTATAAAATGGACCACAACTTTCGTGTGAAATTGTTTTGAATACCTAACAACATGACAAAATGAATTTGGACATAAGGGGCCTTTCAACATATTGTAGTGTTGTAGGTTATCACATGGTCGGCCCCGCACACCATAGCCTTTGCTTACTTGTTTTTATATAATTGGGTGCGGACTCGACATTAAAACCGGAAACGTACCGAATTCGTATAAAGCTCGGAATAAATCGTTAACTGTGATATTCTGGTATGTTAAAGCTTAAATCCATATTTGACAACCGAATTACTGTGATTTCTACCATTATGTTTTGCGAAAAATAGAAATTCCTCCTTGAAACTTTAATTCAATAGTTGGATAGCATACTTTATATTCATAGGCCTCAATTCAAAATGCAAACATTAAATGAATCACCCAATATTAATTAAACAAAAATTATTCGTTCTCTGGGAACTGCTAATAGTCAACGATTGTCACTGCATATAATGACAACCAGCAACCGTAAAATTCTGGCAACCAAACTACATGCATATCATTACTCAAAACTGCTGTTAAAACTTTCATGAGAAACTTAGACATTGTTTATTAAGTTTGCTCTAGCCGGTTTATACAATAAAATTACATATAAGGTGAAAAGAATACGTGGTAAGTATTTCTGAAATACTATTTCGTGTGTAATCACATTTGTATATACCCAGCAAACATGCGCACATGCAACTCGCAGTAAAAATCATATATCACTCGAAACAGGTAGTTATACCTTGACCACAAATAAATCCACAAGCAATTTTTGTTTTGTAGTAGGCAAAAAGTAACTACTTCTTTTTCGTCGGAAGCTTCATATGAATAATTCTTGGGGTTAGTTTGTTGCCGAGCAA